AATGGATCACAAAACAAGACCCAACAATATGCTGCCTACAGGAGACGCATTTGATAGGAAAAGACATACATAGGCTGAAGGTGAAAGGTTGGGAAAAATCATATCACTCATATGGACTTCGGAAACAAGCAGGCGTGTCCATACTCATATCAAATAAAATAGATTTCAAGCCAAAGTTAATCAAAAGAGATAAAGAGGGACACTACATACTGCTTAAGGGAACCATACACCAACAAGACATAACAATCATAAATATTTATGCCCCAAACAATGGTGCAGCTATGTTCGTCAAACAAACTCTTCTCAAGTTCAAGAGTCTAATAGACCACCACACCATAATCATGGGAGACTTCAACACACCTCTCTCGCCACTGGACAGATCTTCCAAACAAAAGTTGAATAAGGAAACTATAGAACTCAATAACACTATTAATAACCTAGACCTAATTGACATATATAGAGTATACCACCCAACATCAAGCAGTTACACTTTTTTCTCAGCAGCACATGGATCCTTCTCAAAAATAGATCATATATTATGTCACAGGGCAACTCTTAGACAATATAAAGGAGTAGAGATATTACCATGCATCTTATCTGATCATAATGGAATGAAACTGAAAATCAACGATAAAAGAAGGAAGGAAAAAGCATACATCAATTGGAGAATGAACAATAGGTTACTGAATGATCAATGGGTTATAGAAGACATCAAGGAGGAAATTAAAAAATTCTTAGAGATAAATGAAAACACAGACACAACATATCGGAATCTATGGGACACATTGAAAGCAGTTCTAAGAGGAAAATTCATTGCTTGGAGTTCATTCCTTAAAAAAAGAAAAAACCAACAAATAAATGATCTCATACTTCATCTCAAAATCCTTGAAAAAGAAGAGCAAAACAACAGCAAAAGAAGTAGAAGGCAAGAAATAATTAAAATCAGAGCTGAAATTAATGAAATCGAAACAAAAGAAACAATTGAAAAAATTGACAAAACTAAAAGTTGGTTCTTTGAAAAAATAAACAAAATCGACAGACCCTTAGCGATGCTAGTGAAGAGAAGAAGAGAGAGAACTCAAATTACTAGCATACGGGATGAAAAAGGCAATATCACAACAGACACTTCAGAAATACAGAAGATAATCAAAAACTATTTTGAATCCTTATACTCCAATAAATTAGAAGATAGTGAAGGCATAGATAAATTTCTTAAGTCATATGATCTGCCCAGATTGAGTCAGGAGGATATAGAAAACCTAAACAGACCAATATCAATTGAGGAGATAGAAGAAACCATCAAAAGACTACCAACTAAGAAAAGCCCAGGTCCCGATGGGTATACAGCAGAATTTTACAAAACCTTTAAAGAAGAACTAATACCAATACTTTTCAAGCTACTTCAGGAAATAGAAAAGGAGGGAGAACTTCCAAATTCATTCTATGAGGCCAACATCACCCTGATACCTAAACCAGACAAAGACACTTCAAAGAAAGAAAACTACAGACCAATATCTCTAATGAACCTAGATGCAAAAATCCTCAATAAAATTCTGGCGAATCGGATACAAAAACATATAAAAAAAATTGTACACCATGATCAAGTAGGATTCATCCCTGGGATGCAAGGCTGGTTCAATATACGGAAATCAATAAATGTTATTCACCACATCAATAGACTTAAAAATAAGAACCATATGATCATCTCGATAGATGCGGAAAAAGCATTTGACAAAGTACAGCATCCCTTTATGTTCAAAACTCTAGAAAAACTAGGGATAACAGGAACATACCTCAATATTGTAAAAGCAATCTATGCTAAGCCTCAGGCTAGCATTATTCTGAATGGAGAAAAACTGAAGGCATTCCCTCTAAAATCTGGAACAAGACAGGGATGCCCTCTCTCTCCACTTCTCTTCAACATAGTTCTCGAAACACTGGCCAGAGCAATTAGACAGACGAAAGAAATTAAAGGCATAAAAATAGGAAAAGAAGAAATTAAATTATCACTATTTGCAGATGATATGATTCTATATCTAGCAGACCCAAAAGGCTCTACAAAGAAACTATTAGAGCTAATAAATGAATTCAGCAAAGTGGCAGGATTTAAAATCAACACGCATAAATCAAAGGCATTCCTGTATATCAGCGACAAATCCTCTGAAATGGAAATGAGGACAACCACTCCATTCAAAATATCTTCAAAAAACATAAAGTACTTGGGAATCAACCTAACAAAAGAGGTGAAAGACTTATACAATGAAAACTACAGAACCCTAAAGAGAGAAATAGAAGAAGATCTTAGAAGATGGAAAAATATACCCTGTTCATGGATAGGCAGAACTAACATCATCAAAATGGCGATATTACCAAAAGTTCTCTATAGGTTTAATGCAATGCCAATCAAAATCCCAATGGCATTTCTTGTAGAAATAGAGAAAGCAATCATGAAATTCATATGGAAAAATAAAAGACCCAGAATAGCAAAAACAATGCTAAGCAAGAAGTGTGAATCAGGCGGTATAGCGATACCAGACTTCAAACTATACTACAGAGCAATAGTAACAAAAACAGCATGGTACTGGTACCAAAACAGGCGTGTGGACCAATGGTACAGAATAGAGGACACAGAAACCAATCCACAAAACTACAACTATCTTATATTTGATAAAGGGGCTAAAAGCATGCAATGGAGGAAGGATAGCATCTTCAACAAATGGTGCTGGGAAAACTGGAAATCCATATGCAACAAAATGAAACTGAATCCCTTTCTCTCGCCATGCACAAAAGTGAATTCAAAATGGATCAAGGAACTTGATATCAAATCAGAGACGCGCCGTCTGATAGAAGAAAAAGTTGGCTACGATCTACAGTCGGTGGGGTCGGGCTCCAAATTCCTCAATAGGACACCCATAGCACAAAAGTTAATAACTAGAATCAACAAATGGGACTTACTCAAACTAAGAAGTTTTTTCTCAGCAAAAGAAACAATAAGAGAGGTAAATAGGGAGCCTACATCCTGGGAACAAATCTTTACTCCTCACACTTCAGATAGAGCCCTAATATCCAGAGTATACAAAGAACTCAAAAAATTAGACAATAAGAGAACAAACAACCCAATCAACAAATGGGCCAAGGACCTGAACAGACACTTCACAGAGGAGGACATACAGTCAATCAACAAGTACATGAAAAAATGCTCAACATCTCTAGCTGTCAGAGAAATGCAAATCAAAACCACCCTAAGATACCATCTCACTCCAGTAAGATTGGCAGCCATTAGGAAGTCAAACAACAACAAGTGCTGGCGAGGATGTGGGGAAAAGGGTACACTTGTACATTGCTGGTGGGACTGCAGATTGGTGCAGCCAATTTGGAAAGCAGTATGGAGATTTCTTGGAAAGCTGGGAATGGAGCCACCATTTGACCCAGCTATTCCCCTTCTTGGTCTATTTCCTAAAGACCTAAAAAGAGCATGCTACAGGGACACTGCTACATCGATGTTCATAGCAGCACAGTTCACAATAGCAAGACTGTGGAACCAACCTAGATGCCCTTCAATAGACGAATGGATAAAAAAAATGTGGCATTTATACACAATGGAGTATTACTCTGCATTAAAAAATGACAAAATCATAGAATTTACAGGGAAATGGATGGCATTAGAGCAGATTATGCTAAGTGAAGCTAGCCAATCCCTAAAAAACAAATGCCAAATGTCTTCTTTGATATAAGGAAAGTAACTAAGAACAGAGTAGGGTTGAAGAGCATGAGAAGAAGATTAACATTAAACAGAGATGAGAGGTGGGAGGGAAAGGGAGAGAGAAGGGAAATTGCATGGAAATGGAAGGAGACCCTCAGAGTTATACAAAAGTACATACAAGAGGAAGTGAGGGGAAAGGGAAAAATAATACAAGGGGGACAAATGAATGTCAGTAGAGGGGGCAGAGAGAGAAGAGGGGAGGGGAGGGGAGGGGAGGGGAGGGGTGGGGGGATAGTAAAGGATAGGAAAGGCAGCAGAACACAACAGACACTAGTATGGCAATATGTAAATCAATGGATGTGTAACTGATGTGATTCTGCAATCTGTATATGGGGTAAAAATGGGAGCTCATAACCCACTTGAATCAAAGTGTGAAATATGATATATCAAGAACTATGTAATGTTTTGAACAGCCAACAATAAAAAATTAAAAAAAAACAAACAATCATAATGATAATACAACAACCTTTCATGCCTGTTATATTAGAGCAGTGTAAGATTCTTATGGTAAATTATTTGTTTTAATCTACATAGAAGTTCTGTCAAGAGGTCTTATTTTCTATACTTTAAAGTTGAGGTATCAGAATCTCACAGATGTGAAGTAATATTTCCTTTAGCACTGTCTTTGCTGATTTTGATTACTCTGAAAAGAGTTGTTCATATATTGAAAAGAAGAATATCTTTACCTTTCCTTGCTCCTTGTCTCTTTTTATATAAGTGAAGTCCAATGGCTATGACAGCAGACAATATCAAAAGAGATAGAAAAATAGTGCCTCCTGTTATGAGTTGATGGAAAATGAAGGGCTCCGCAACTGAAATTCAGATGTGTCCCCTGTTAGTTTCAATGGAAAGAGTTGTTCCCACATTTACTTCTTGCTCAGTGAATCCGCAATCCCTCCCTCCAACAATTGTATTCTGGGGATGCTCCGTCTATCTACATTTCATTCCTGACCTAGTTAGTCAGTAAGTGCATGCTTCCTTTTAAATATTTTCTTATTTAGTTTATTTGTTCAGCAAATAAATTCATTTCAGAAGGAGAATAGTAGCAGTGTAACAGAGTGTAATGGAATTGAAAGTATCAATGAAAGAGTAGGTGGGGGAGTCAATCCATGGAAACTTGACCATGCTGAAGTTGCTAGCCTGGGATAGCCTGGAGGAATTCAGGGAACAGAAGTCTGAAAAACCTATGAAAACAGAAGTAAACAAGAACTGGAAGGTGTGGTTAAAGAGTGAGATAAAATTTGCTTCCTAATAAAAATCAATTTGTCATTCATGTAATGGGAATAAAACACATGTACATATAAATATACTCTTTTCTGCTGAATTCTGGAAAAAATCATATTTCCAAGTAAAGTAAACCCAAAATGAAAAATGCTATTTTGAATTTTGTACTTAATGCAAATATTTCCAAAGAATTTATGATGCTGTTCTGGGAAAAAAGCATTTCCAGTAAGCACTATACAGAATGTTATTATTTTTCTCATGTAAGACTTTTTGTAACTTCAAGAAAAAGAAAGCACTTTTTTAAATATATGGAAGGGTGATTTTAATATAGATGTAATGAAGAAAAGCACATGTGTATCTTTATTAGGTATCGGTGTTAACCGACACTAATGGTAACTGATTATTAATTCTATTCACAATTTCTCACTTTATTTACTGCATAATTGTCTTCAACTCTTTTTATCTTCTACCAGAAATATTGAGATTTGGTTCTGCTTTTGTCTTGTATTTTTTTTCCATATAAAGTTGAGCAACTGCATACAGTAAGATGTATTTCTTATCTTTGATTACACAGGAATGTAATTGAAGTTGTCAGAGGTCATGTACCTTCTGAAAGGCTTTGCTTTAGAAATAAACCATCTCATTTGGTATATCTGATGCTTCTAATTTGTGTCTTGAAGGAAAATGTTTTAAAATTGAATTTTCACCATTCTTAAAATTATGGATTTTTGTTAGATTTTTAAATTCTTTTTCCTTTTTCTTTTGGTACTAGTGATTGAACCCAGAGGTGCTTAACCACTTAGTTCCATCCACAGCCCATTTTATTCTTGAGATAGGATCTTATTAAGTTGCTGAGGCTGTCCTTGAACTTGGGATTCTCCTGCCTCACCCACCCCAGTTGCTGGGATTACAGGTGTGTTCTAATATGTTTGCTTGATTTTAATTATTTGATTATTGTTTTAAACAAATTTAAAGATATTTGTATGTCTGAAGTAAAAACTATGTTTAAATTAGGGCTTTCACAGGTAAAAATAGCTGTCTTTGTTAAGAAAAACTATCTAAAATGTGGAAACAACATAAAAGGTGATAAACTACATACCTTTTCAATGTCATCTTAGAATTTATCTAATAGCAAAACTGTCTAAAGATCATCTGATTTAAATGAATAAAATTTCTTTATGGTTTTATTGTCCCAATGGACATTAAATTTGTGATATTTTTAGGTTTCCTATCTTTGTTAGCCTAGTCCTTCCCTCATTTATGCATTAATTAAAATCATAGCACCTGATTTACATGTATTTATATGAGAATTATATTTTTAACACTTTAAAAATTATAATTTGATTCCTTTTCTTCCCCTTCCTGTAACCTCTCTTCATGTTCTGCAAGGATAGATACTATATTTTTGCCATTATGGCATTCTCAGCAATTAGCACGTGCTGGCTCATGGAAGTTGATGAGTAAACATTTTTGAACAAATATGAAAATGAATGTGTAACAGTGGATACGTGGCATTTATATATCTGAGATTCTGGAGTGCTGGATGAGCTGTCTCCTTGGTCATGGGAGTGTTCTAAGGTGATAACAGGTATCAGGGTGCAGAGGCACACTACAATCCAGGTACCAAAACCTGATCTTGATACAAAGCATTTACATGGCTGGAAAAGGACAGAGGCCTGTAAATAGCCCTAGGAATTGCATGCAGTGCAAGAAAAGGGGTGGGGGGGAATCTTTTGGGGAAATTTGGGTTTTAATTAAGATAAGAAAGTAGATGGAACTTGAGGGAAGAGATGAAAGATGTTGAGGAATTTTTTTCAGAGGAAAAGTTTAGGTTGGGGAATTGGGAACACTGGGAGGTTGATTCAAATTAGAGAAAGTTGGGATAAGTAACCTGCATTACAACTTAAAATTGGATCATACAAAACCCCTCTCCTTTGAACATCTCTCCTTCCTCTCTTCTGGTCTCACAGTCATTCTCCCTCTCATTGATGGCACCAGGCTCTGGCTCCCATACCACTCTCCAGGCTAGTTCTGCCACTGTCATTAGTGACCTCAGTGCCTACATGAGGTCAAGCCATCCTAAACTCTTATCTTCATTGAATTCTTTGCCAATAAATATTGAATGATTTCTTTGTTTCATTTACTATATTAGGTAGTGGATTTTAAATGATTAGAAAAAATTCATACCTCCCATCTTCATAAAACTTACTCTATAATGAGTTACACTGACATTAAATAAATAAATGCAAAGGAAATAGATGCTTACATTTGGTTTGGTACCAAGGTTATGAGAACAACAAGGTTCTATGACAGAGAATAGTGCTAAAATCTAATTCAGCTAGATGAGCAGTAAAAGGAAGCTTCTCTAAGGAAGTAATATTTTAGCAAAGGTTAGATGAATAAACAGACATTATACATATGAAGAATAGAGAAAATAATTGAAAAATACAATAGGACTTGGCATAATTCAGGAAGGAAAGTAGAATATAAGTGACCAAAATCATGACTGTCTGTCTGTGGGGAATTCTTATCTGTGTTTAAACTTAAAAGAATTATTTTAGCAGGACACTTAGGTAGAGGAAAGATCTAACAAAATATCTGAGGAGGAACCTTGAAAAGGCAATGTAGGAGAGATTGGTTATTGAGATCTAAAGAGGAGATTAGATTGTAGTTTTTGATGAAGAGGCCTCAGTTTCATGGAGGTGTTAAGTCAGTTGGGGATTGAAAAAGTCTGGTGAGGAAGGGAAAGGAGGAAGTAGAAAAAGAGAGGGAAATTGGGTCCTATCGGCAAGGCTGCTGTGGTGTGATGGAAGAGAGCAGAAGCAGGAGTGGAGCATAGCTGGTAGAGGACCCATCAGCCAAGGTCCCAGGTAAGTAAGGGAAGAGAGAAAACTGACCTGCTATGGACACTTGCCCTTCCTTTTTCTGATTTAGGATCGGGTTCCAGATGGAACATGTCGTGTTTGCCTTCGCAGAATCTCTGAATAGGAGAAATGTGGTTACGTGGAACAGGCCATCTTGGTCCTGGGTCTGAAACTCAGACACAGGTGGAATTTCCTCTCCTTGAGAATTTATCCACTGGACCTTCGGCTTAGGGAACCAGCCTTCTGACTTGCACTCCAATTGGGTTTCTCTGGTCTCAGTAACCTCCATGTGGAAGTGAGGAGCTGAGCCTAGAGCTGAGAAGAGAAAGAGATGCTCATTTTCACACACACACACACACACACACACACACACACACACACAAATCTCTATGTTTCTCTGAAGAGTTGGGGCTGCTGACTAGATCATAGTGCATAGAGCAGAAACTGAGGCTCTGAAAATATCTTGGCAGTAACTAATGGAGATTCAGACAAGAGATGAGTCTAACACTGTTCAATACAAATGGTGCTTGCCCATTTCTTTCTTCCTTTTTCTTCTTCTTTATTTTTTTCTTTTGATACCAGAGGTTGAACACAGGGGCACTTAATCATTTAGCTATCAGCTGCATTCTTAGCCCTTTTATTTTTTATTTTGGGACTGGGTCTCACAAAGTTGCTTAGGGCCTTGCTAAGTTGCTGAGGCTGTCTTTGAACTCATGATCCTCCTGCCTTAGCCTCTCAAGCCACTGGGTTATAGGCATGCACCACCATACCTGACCCTGCCCATTTCTTGACTCCCACCATGATTCTATTATTTTCTGTTTATCCCTAAACCCTGAAGGTAGCCTGATCCTAGCAGTGGTATGCAGAATTATAAAAAAGGCTGTTGTATTAGCCACCTCCATTTCTCTTACAACCTCTTCTTTATGTTTCCAAGGAACATGGATCAGAGAAGGAAATCTATCCTAGAGTAAACTCACTCTGAAGAGGTGTCAAGGGCAGAACCTGGGCCATTACCTGCCACTTTCAGTTCGATCAATGTATCACTGTAGAAGGAGCCATGCTGGAACCCACAGTAATACTGTCCATCATCAAAGGTTTGGATGTTAAGGATTCTAAGGACCACAATGCCTTTACTGATAGCATCTCTCACAAGCTTTGTCCTCCCTGAGTACTCCTCCATGACTTCCCCAGGCTGACTGCTCCCATCCTTGTACAGGTGTACAATCTGGGAGGACAGGGAGCGGGACCAGCTTATCTGCATGTTCTCAGCACTCTGATGAGATGAGAGAAAGCAAGGCAGCTCTGCTTCACCACCTAGCACAGCCACCACAGGCTCATGGGGCCCTTGGATTTGGAATGCCCCTGAAAAAAAGAGAAACAGAAATGGAGTCAGAGAGGACTGAGGTCAAAGAAGGGGCAAGAGATGTTGAAAGTAGAACAGTGGGCCTGGGCTAGAGTGAAGCTCACAAGGCACCTAGGGGACATGATTTAAGAAGGCCTTTGCTCAGGGCTATGCAAGTGCACAGGCAACAAGCTCCTAAGAGTGAGTGCTTCTTTAAATTTTGATCCTTGGAAATGTTACCTAACTCACCTAGTTCCTTGTGGGAGTGGGAGGTGGGTGAGGAGCTGAAAATTTAGACTGCTGGATTTGGGAAATAGATGCAATAACTTCTTTGGGTTAGAGTCTGTCCTCAACTAGGAAGGGTAATCCCAAGGCTTTGTGCTTGTGCTACTGAAGGAGAGGCTGTAATAATGAAAGAGTTACTGTAATAATGAAGGAGATTAAAAACAACGAACTCTGAGATATAAGGCAAGGGGCAGAATAGAAGAGAACACAGAGGGAGGGAGGGAGGAGAGAGGAAGGGTTCACACATGAACTCTAGTGGTTTGGGAGTGAATAATTGAACAACTGTGTCTAGAAAGAATCCAAAACAGCCCAGTAGGAAACATGACTGAGAACGGATAGTAGTGTTTGCCATAAGCAAGGGATGAGACAATGGGGCATGCAATCTTATGTTTGCAAGGTCTTATTTTGTCATTTCATGAGATTCTAAGAACTTGTGCTTCTTAATTACAATGTGAGGCTTCTTCACTTCTTAATTCTTGCTGCACCACATGCACACTTGCACTCATGTGCGTGCGTACACACACACACACACACACACACACACAGACACCATATGCACTCACCAGTAGGCCTGGACCAAGAGATGCAAGAATAATGCCTGGTATTAGTAAGTTTAAAAAGCTAATTTGTGTACTTTTATTTTTCCCAGGTTCTCAATTTATTTGTATTTTTATCTCCTTTCTTCTGAGTTTTCTTCCTTTTTTTTCCCACTCACTCTTTTGTATCATAGAACCAGAGACTCAGAATAGGAAAGAGAAACAGGAGTTCCTACCTGCAACCTGGAGACAGAGATAGAGTGAGAAAAGGCTGCCATGGTACATTGGAGAGACTCGCTGCTTCTTTGGTGACCCAGGAAGGGCAACCCCAAGGATATGTGCTCGTGCTGCAGAAGGAGAGGCTGTAATAATAAAAGAGATAAAAAGGTGAACTCTGAGATATAAGGCAAGGGGCAGAATAGAAGGGAACACAGAAATCTCACTCCCAGGCAGGAGGGGCATATCTATCTTTGGTGCTAATGTTAGAAACAGACTGAGCTTCTTATTCCTTTTCCCACGAATTTCAGGACTCTGGTTTTCAGGCCACTCAGGGACACCCAGGCTTCCACAGTCTTGCTATTCCTCACACATATCTGGCTGCTTCTACTTATTTTTCTTCACTGGTTCCTCTTTCTTGCCCTGCAGCTTAGTCTCTTTTGGTGATTTCTTACAATCTCATGGCTTGCTATAGTCTGGATCTTGAATGTCCTCCAAAGGCAAATGTGTTGGAGGCTTAGTTCCCAGTCTGTGGCACTGTTGGGAGGTGGTGGAACCTTTAAGAGAAGGAACCTAGATCATTGAAAGGCATGCCCTTGAAGGGGATATTGAGACCTAGTCCCTCCTCTGCTTCTCTTCCACCATGAGGTGAGCAGCCTTTTCTGCCATGCACTCCCCACCATGATGTACTGTGCCTCCACAGGCCCAAAGCCCCAGAGCCAAGTGACCATAGACTGAAATGTCTGAAATCATGAGTAAAATAAGTATTTGCTTCTTAGAATTTTATTTTTGGTGTTTTGTTACAGCAACAGAGGGCTGACTGTTGGCTCCAGCTATCTTTTACATGCTGGTGACTCACTTCTAATTGTACATCTTGTAATGTCTGGGGATCCAGTAGCCTGAATTTGCTTCTAGAGGTTCCAGGAGCTTATGGACCCCCTCCTCCTTGGAGTAGGAGGAGAAGCAAGTGGGTTCTATCAGTACTTGCCTGCTTACTTTCCTTTGCTTGCCCACAGATGAATTCTGACGTTCCCTACCAGGACATGAAAAATATTGTTACTAGCAGTGAAGAAGGGACTGTAGCACTCTCAGAAACAACTGCAATGTGGAATTTGGTGGCTACAACTATGAAGTTTGCTTTCCTGGGCCCAGGGCCCGGAGATCCTATTGTTCAGAGTGTGTCTAGGAAGGGGTTGGTCCAAAGAATAGAGAGGAAGAGAATTCAAAGGTCATGGTCTCTTAATATGGAAAGATATATTCTTTATATGTGGGTGAATGAATCTTGATCAATGGAGGCATGTGGTATGACTATGCCGAGTCTTAGAGGACTGTGTCAACAACTCCAAAGACTGAGCATATAATTATTTTATGGAGTAGGAAGTACATCCTGACCTTTTGGATATGATGACACATGGAAAAAAAATGATACCACTTTTTCATACTGTAGTAAACTGGAAGGAGATTTGTAGACATTTACATAGGCTTCATAAAAAATACATTTTAAAATATCCTATCATTATGATAAGAAAATGAAGTAGAAATTATTAGGAAGCATATTAAATATTTAATTTCAAAGGTTTAAGTATAAATATCTTAAATTTTTATAGCATTGGAAATTGCTTTAATAAATACCTTTATTTCCAATTTTATACTTGAAATGACTACAGATAATTATCAATTATAATTACTAATCATGATCTTTTCAACTTCATTATAGTTACCATTGGTGAGATATTTTATTTGCTTAAGTTGAAGATATAAATTTTAAACTATTTTTATTTTCATTTTTGAATCAAATTTAGGGAATTTAATAGTTCTTTCTTTTTTAAACAATATAATATTGACATTTTTTGGTGAAAATTCGAATGACTTTGAAATCCAATCAATTTTTTCTTATTATTTCAAAATAAGAATGATCCCAGCAAGTTATTTTGTGGATTCTGAAGTTTTATGTAGAAAGCCAAAAAGACCAATTACCCAATATAATACTGAAGAAGAAGAACAAAATTGGATGATTGACATTACCTGATTTCAAACTTACTATAAAGCTATAGAAAGCAAGACAGTTTGGTATTTGTGAATGAATAAACAGATAGATCATTGGAATAGAATAGAGGGCCCAGAAATAGATGCATACTGATATAGTCAATTGATCTTTGACAAAGGAGTAAAAGTAATATATTTGAGCAAAGACTTTCTTTTCAACAAATGGTGTTGAAACAATCAGACATTCACATGTGAAAAACTGACTCTACATATAGACATTACATCCTTCACAAAAATGAACTCAAAGTGGACCATAGATTCAAATGTAAAAACAGAACTATAAAAATCCTAGAAGGTAACAGGAAAATAATTTAGATGACCTTGGGTTGGACAATGGCTTTTTAGATCCTTCAAAGGCATGATCCATGAAAGAAAGAATTGATAATTTGAATTCATTAAAATAAAAAACAGTAAATCTTTAGTTTGCAGGATTTATATACTATGTTAAAATAATTATTTTTGCAATTAGTTTCATATTAGCAGTTACAAATTGACAGAAATATCTAAGGACAAAGTTTATAGTCTATTATTTTGAACTCCATTTAGGAACATTGGCTTGGCCTCCTTTGTCCCCTTATATCCATTGAATCCAAGATAAGACCAAATCTGTGCTCTTTAGATGCCTGTACCTTGAACTCCCCCAGACTCTATGATCTCCTTTTTTATGATAGGTAGAAACATTCAGTGCAGTTGACTGGTGGAGATGCTAGCTAGGTAATTGAGAATTTTCTTGGTCAAACAGAATATACAGTTGCTGTAGCTGATTAAATGTTACAGATGTTCACTCTTTGCTGCTTATCTTGCACCACCATCTAAGTGACATTCTGGTGAAAAAAAAAAACAGCCTAAGACATTCTGTAGGCTGAAAAAGAATAAAGTTCAACTGGTATGTTTTATCTTGGGAAGGGGGGGTGGGTGTTGGAGGGAGGCTCTGAATCCAAGCCTCTTGAAAGTTTAGGAAATGCCAGGTTACCAACAAAATTTCATGGCAACTATCTCATTGGGCAAAATAAACTCAACTGGATTCTTTCTAGCTGACAGAGCCAGATCCCCATCAGCAGCAGGAAAGGGACTATTTGTGGAAACCATGCATAAATCTAAGAAGCTGTTGATAGAGATGATAATCTTTTTTTAAAATAATTTCTTTTGTAGTTGTAGATGGACAGCATGCCTTTATTTTATTTGTTTATTTTTATGTGGTGCTGAGGATTGAACCCAGTCCTCATACTTGCAAGGCAAGAGCTCTACCACTGAGCTCCAGCTCCAGCCCTAAGATGATACTCTTAATAAAGTATCTCAGTGCTCTTCAAATAAATATCTATACCAAAATGTCTTTATACAAACTCACTGCAAGATTAAAATATCTGATGCAATTTCTCTAGTATTTCCTTTGTCTTTCTCTCACACCACACATATTTATGAAGGAACTCAAAGGAAATGATTGAAAAAGGAAAACAGAAATAAGCCTTATTGTTCTATAAAGTTCAGGAGTTGATGAAAGATGGGGTTTGGGATTCTCTAAAACAATTCTCCCGTAGTGGCACATCATATTTGTAGTTAGAAGTCTTACCTATTAAAAACTCAAATTTAGAACACACAGATTGCCAACTCCCAAGCACATTTTTCTTGGCAATTTTGAACAATCCCACGAGGATATTCATGGTCTCCTCTTGGCTACTTTGCAGGGCTCCATCTAAATCACCAGTCAGTTGAAGGAAGAAAAAAGAAAGATTTTCCATAGCACTTTCACTTTAAAATACTCATACCTACATGCACTTCTGCCCTGAACATGTTTATAAAAGGGTTACCACCAGATATGGCTAAATTTTTCTTCATAACATCTTGGTTGAGGTACAAGTTACATGTCATAAAATTCACACTTTAAAAGCATACAATCTTCTTTCCCTGTGGATTTGCCTTTCCTGAACATATCATATAAATGGAATCCCAATCTGTGACCTTTTGTGTTTGGCTTCTTTCACTTGGCATAATTCATTGAAGGTTTATCCATATTGTAACATGTATTAGCACTTCATTCCTTTAAATTCCATTACATGGTCATAACATATTTATTTATAAGTTGGTGGACATTTGAATTATTTCCTTTTTAGCTATTATGAAAATGTTTTTATGCATATTCATGTACAAGTTTTTGTATGGATATATCTTTTTGATTCTCCAGGTGATGAATTTTTGGGTCAGATGGGACCTCTATGTTTGATATTTTTTAATACCTTAATTTTATTTATTGACTGTTAAATGTGGTGCTGGGGATCAAACAGGTGCCTCACATATGCTAGGCAAGCCCTTTACTACTGAGCTACAACATCAGCCCCTCTATGTTTAATATTTTGAGGAACTGTCAAACTGTTCTCCAGAGTGGCTGCACCATTTTGCATTTGCACGAGTAATGTATGTGGGTTCCAATTTTTCCAAGTTCTTGTTTTATTTTATTTTATTTTTCCTATACAGGGGATTGAACGCAGGTTTGCTCTACTACTGAGCTACATCCCTAGCTCTTTTATTTATTTATTTTTTTAAAATTTGAGACAGAGTCTTGCTATTTTGTCCAGACTGGTCTTAAACTTGGAATCCTCCTGCCTTGGCCCCCTGAGTTGCTGGGATCACAGGTGTGTGCCACCATGCCAGGCTCTCCATATTCTGGCAGCACTTATTATTGCCTTTCTTCTTTTTATTTTAGCTATATCTATGGTTTAAATATTTTTCCCCTCCAAAATCTATACTGAAATTTAATTGCCATTATGGTGTTATTGAGAGGTGGGTCTATTAACGGGCTACTAGGCCATGAGAGGAGTCTACCCTCATGAATGAAGTCATGTCACTATCATGAGAGGGGTGAATTATCATTGGAGCAGGGTCCTGATAAAGGGATAACATTTGGCCCCCTTTGTTGTCTATCTCTCGCCCTCTCTGTCACCCCTCCACCTTTTTCATGAGATGATGCTGCATATATGAAGACCCTCACCAGATGCTGGTGTCATGCTCTTGCACTTTTTAGCCCCCAGAACCATGAGTCAATTCTCTATTTTATGCATCTGTCAGTCTGTGGTATTCTGTTATCGCAACAGAAGATGGACTAAAAGAGACAGCCTTGTTCATTGTAGCACTATTCACCATAGCCAAGGAGTTGAAACAACCTATTTGTTCATCAACTTCCATCAACTGATGAACAGACAAAGAAAATGTGGCATGTATACAGCATGGAATACCATTCATTCTCAAAAAAGAATGAAATTCTGTCATTTTTAAGGACATGGAGATCATTATTATATAATGTGAAATTATGTAATGAAAATGAAATTATGTAATTCATAATGTGAATTATGAAATTATGGAGATCATTACATAATGTGAAATAATCCATGCATAGTCTCACTCATATTTAGAATATTAAAAATTGATCTCAGAAGCTGAGTAGAATGGTAGTTACCAGAGGCTGGGGACACTAAGGCAAGGGAGGGATGGAAAAGCTTAATCAATGAGTACTGAGTTACAGTTAAATAAGAGCAAGACGCTCTGGTGTGCCATTACACATTAGGATGACTATGCATAACAGTAATTTACCGAACATTTCAAATAGCTAGAAAGTAGATTTTGAATGATTTTACCATAAAGAAATGATCAATGTTTGAAGAGATAGAAGTGCTTAATCTGGTTTAAACATTATAAAATGTGTACTTGAACTGAATTATTATAGGCTATCCCATGAATATGTACAGTTTTTATGTTTTTATGTATCACTTAAAATAAATTTAAAAACAGAGACTAAGACACTAGCCTAGGCAACATGAAGTGTTATCCCATTGTTGTTTTGGTTTGCACTAAGGATGCTGAGTGTTTGTCATGTGCTTATTGGTCATTTGCATATCTTCTGTGGCAAAATGCCTAAACAGATCACTTGCCCATTTAAAAATTGTGTTTTTATCTTTTTGTTGAATTATAAGAATTCTTTATATATCCTGGATGCAGGTATCTTATTAAATATTCAATTTGCAAATATTTTATTTTGTTCTGAAGGTTGTCTTTTTTTCTTTATTAATATCATTCTTTGCAGCAAAATGTTTTAAATTTTGACAAAATCCAATCTGATTTATTTTGGTCTCTTGTACTTTTGGTGTCATATCTAAGAACAGACAAACAGATCAACAGAATAGAGCTCAGAAATAAACACTTCATTTATTGTCAATTGATGTTTGACAAGGGTGCCAAGACAGGTCAATAGGAAAATAAAAATAACAAGTGGTATGGGATAACTGGATATTCATAGACAAAAGAATGAAACAGAATTCCTACCTCACCATATACAAAAATCAATTCAAACAAACAATGAACCCAAATGTAAGATCCAAAATTAGAAAATTCTTAGAAGAAAAATAGGAGTTAATATTCATAATTATGAATAATTTTAAGGGAATTTATTTTCAAATATTTTAGTATATATGTATTCTCTTTGCTAAAATGGATCTATTTGAGAATGTTGTGCATAACTTTCCTTCAGATACTTTGCAAATCCTTTGTTGGGATGTGCTGAATTCAGGAAGATGAGAAAGGAAAACTGACATCTTGCCTTTAAGTTAATATTGTTCACTTATAAGGTCAAATAATACATCATGAAACATAGCCAAGAAAAATACTTTGCACCTAGAGTGACACCACTCACCTACTTGGCTCTGACACCCTAACTGTGGATGGCTGCAGCATCCCTTTTTCACCTAACCACCTGCCCTGGCAGCACAAATGTCTACTTTGCTCCTCTCCACCTAAATCTTTAAATCTGAGTTCTTCAGGATGGGAAGGAAAGTGGAAATAAAGGAAAAAAAGGAAAGGAAGAGAAGAAGGGGAAGGGGAAAGCTATGTGTTGCATTTTGTATGTAAAAAAATTGTGAAAGCCTAGATAGGAAAGAAACCTCCTGATCAGTATTACCACCATCTAAGTTCTCTTGAAGAGCCTTTTCATGCATATCCTATAGTTTGAAGACTACAGATGTAGGCATCACGAAGTAAATGCAATGGAAACACCTAGAAGACCCTTCCCACCTCAGAACCCTGGCAAGCAGGGTCTAAAACCTCTTAGTTGGCATTCTTGTGCAGAAGGCTCTACTTTTCCACCCCTTTCCTTCTTTCTATTCTTTCATCCTGCTCTCCTGCCAGGAAGCACAGCACTCTGTCCTCACCTCCTCTGTGCTATAGAACCTTGCATGGGACAATGACATGGCCCTTTCTTCAAGCTTCCTCTTTCTTCAACTTGGGGAAGGATCCTCTTTATAGACCTCAGGAGAGACTTACCTTCACATTTCTTGCAAGATTCCAAATATCCGGGGTATATTTGTCTAGAAATTTTTCTTCCAGGGATTCAGGATTGGGAGAAATGAGTTCATCTGAGTTAGAGAAGAAAACAAAAAGGAAGTTGGAAGGAGCCCTGAGCAGGAATCAAGTCAGATTATCTAGGAAAGAAGCCCACTGGTAGTACTAAGTTCAACAAAGCAGCATTATTTGGTAAGTTTTATAACCACCATTGTATAGAACAAAACTGAAAATGAAAGAAGAAACTACAAAGGGAAAAAACCAAAGAGCACAGATTAGACAGGCTGATTTCATACAAATTAATGATTAACAACCTCAACAGAGCCTGAAACACTCCATGGGCATTATACTAGGTTTCTCTAATATCTTCCTTCACCTACTTTCTGTAAAGGCTTTGCACATCTTTTTCTCTCTTGGGTCAAAAATAAAATTTAGATCAAAGCTAGAAATATGCTAAAAGTTTATTTTATACACACAAAACCAAACCAAACCCCAGATAGTTCACAAACTGGGAGACCTTGAACTGAAAGTGTAGGAAGCTTCCTTAAGCCCTAGTATTTTCTCCATACCCAGATTCAGAGGGTCATGCCACAGAAAAAGCAGGCAGAGAGATGAGTGTTGGGAGAAAGAAAGGCTCTATTCAAGTATGCAAAGAATGGAGAGGAGGGAGCTCACAAATTAGCCTCTCATCTCCAGGGAGTTGAAGGATCACAGGTATAGAGTAGGAATACCGAGGGAGAAAGGTAGGCTAATGAAGGGGAGGAAAGTTTTATGTCTTTTCTGGGAATAGGCAAAAAACCCCAGGAATTTAGGTGCTACCTGTTTCTATTTCTGTTTTAGTCACCTTTTTCATTGCTATGACCCAAAGACCTGATAAAAACAATGTAGACTAGGAAAAATTTATTTTGACTCACACTTCAGAGGTCCGGAAGATGGCTGGCTGACTCCACTGTTCAGGGTCCGAGTTGGGACAGAACACCATGGCAGAGGAAAGGGCTCAGTACAGAGCAGCAATAAGCAGAAAGAGAGAGCTCCACTCACCAGGGACAAAATATAAACCCCAAGGCCACACCCCCAGTGACCTGCTTCCTCCAGCAATGCCCTACCTGCCTACAGTTACCACCCAGTTAATCCATATCAACAGGTTCATTGGCTATTAGATTATAGCTCTCCTAATCTTTTCATTTTACCTCTAAATGTTCCTGCATTGTCTCACACATGAACTTTGGAAGACACCTCATATCTATTTTTTAAATATTTTTTTCCATTTTTTTATTTGTTCTACTTAGTTATACATGAGAGCAGAATGGATTTCAATTCATTGTAAACAAATAGAGCACAACATTTCAATTCTCTGGATGTACACAATGTAGAGTTGTACCATTCATGCAATCATATATGTACCCATAATTACCAGACGGTAATGGCGTCCATCTCATTCCACTATCTTTCTTGTCCCATGCCCCCTCCCTTTTGCCCAATCCAAAGTTCTTCCATTCTTCCCATGTCCCTTCTCCAAATATGGATCAGTATCCACTTATCAAAGAAAACATTAGGCCTTTGGGCTTTGGGGATTGTCTTACTTCACTTACTCTAACTCCATTTACCTGCAAATGTCATAATTTTATTGTCTTTTAATGCTGGGTAATATTCCAGTGTGTATATACACCACAGTTTCTTTATCCATTCATCTATTGGTTGGCATCTAGTTTGTTGCCACAGTTTAGCTATTGTGAATTGAGCTGCTATAATCATTGATGTGGCTGCGTCACTATGGTACGCTGATTTTAAGTCCTTTGGGTATAGACCGAGGAGTTGGATACCTGGGTCAAATGGTGGCACCATTCCAAGTTTTCTGAGAAATCTCCATACTGCTTTATAAAGTGGTTGCAACAATTTGCAGTCCCACCAGCAATGTATGAGTGTACCTTTTTCCTACATCCTCACTTGCATGAATGGTACAACTCTACATTGTGTACATCCAGTATGAGTGTACCTTTTTCCTACATCCTCACTTGCATGAATGGTACAACTCTACATTGTGTACATCCAGAGAATTGTATTCTTGATAACTGCCATTCTGACTGGAGTGAGATGAAATCTTAGAGTAGTTTTGATTTGCATTTCCTAATTACTGTAGATGTTGAAAAGTTTATATATTTGTTGGTCACTCGTATATCTTTTTCTGAGAAGTGACTTTTCAATTCCTTAGCCCATTTATTGATTTGGATTATTTGTTTTATTTGGCACTAGGTTTTTTGAGTTCTTTATATATCCTGGAGATTAGTGCTCTATCTGATGTGTGTGTGGTAAACATTTTCTCCCACTTTGTAGGCTCTCTCTTGACATCATCAATTATTTCTTTTGCTGAGAAGAAGCTTTTTAGTTTGAATCCATCTCATTTATTGATTCTTGCTTGATATTATTTCTTGTGCTTTAGGAGTCTTGTTAAGGAAGTCAGATCCTAGGCCAACATAGTGAAGATTTGGGTTTACTTTTTCTTCTATTAGGCACAGGGTCTCTGGTCTAATTCCTAGGTTCTTGATCCACTTTGAGTTGAGTTTTGTGCATGGTGAAAGACAGGGATTCAATTTCATTTTGCTGCATATGGATTTGCAGTTTTCTCAGCACCATATTTTCTCCAGTGTATGCTCTTGGCACTTTTTCTAGTATGAGATAACTTTATTTATGTGGGTTTGTCTCTGTGTCTTCTATTTTGTACCATTGGTACAAAATATATCTATTTTGGTTCCAATACCATGTCATTTTTGTTACCATTGCTTTATAGTATAGTTTAAGTCTGATATTGTGATACTTCCTGCTTCAATCCTTTTCTTGCTAAGGATTGCTTGGGCTATTCTGAGTCTCTTATTTTTCCAAATGAATTTCATGATTGCTTTTTTTAGTTTATGAAGAATTTCATTGGGATTTTAATAGGAATTGCATTAAATCTATATAACAGTTTTGGTAGTATGACCATTTTGACAATATTAATTCTTCCTATCCAAGAGTATGAGAGGTCTTTCCATCTTCTAAGGCCTTCTTCAATTTCTTTCTTTAGTGTTCTATAGTTTTCACTGGAGAGGTCTTTCACCTCTTTTGTTAGATTGATTCCCAAGTATTTTATCTTTTTGGGAGGGCTATTTTGGATGGGGTAGTTTTCCTAATTTCTCTTTCAGTGGATTCATTGAATGATCTTTTTTTTAAAAAAAAATATTTATTTTAGTTGTAGGTGTACACAATGACCTTTATGTTGTTTTTATGTGGTGCTGAGGATCAAACCCAGAGCCTCACATGTGCTAGGCAAGTGCTTTACCACTGAGCCACAATCCCAGCCCCTCATTGAATGATCTTAATGCAATGAAATTCCTCTTAGCACTGCCTTCATAGTGTCCCAGAGATTTTGATATGTTGTATCAATGTTTTCATCTACCTCTAAGAATTTATTTTTATCTCTCTCTGATGTCTTCTGCTAGCCATTGTTCATTCAATATCATATTATTTAGTCTCTAGGTGTTGGATTATCTTCTTTTATTTTATCATTGATTTCTTATTTCATTCTATTATGATCTGATAGATATACAGTGTAGTATCTCTATTTTTTGTATTTGCTAGACTTGCTTTGTTGCATAATATACAGTCTATTTCAGAGAAGGATCCATGTGCTGCTGAGAAGATGCCAAGCATCTTCAACTCATTCCTGTCATCCTTTGGACATCAGTGAAACCAAGCAAAGAGTCATTTTTTGTAGGGACCTCTTTCAGGTCCCTAAAGAAAAACCTAGACAACAGTATCATCATAACCCACACACCAGTGGTGCCATCTACTGCAAAGCTAGCTGGAGACTAACACTGTATTGCCCAGCTGCGGGACCTGCAAATTAGTGATTTTTTAGAGTTCATTCAGAAATAATTGAAGGTAGAGGGTTTATTTAGTTTTTTAAATTATTTTTACTGAGTTTTAATCATATCAAACTTTACACATATTTTTAATTTTGTAATTATATAGGTATATTTCTGAAGACAGGAAGCTAGAATATATATAATTTATTTTATAGGTACATTTTTATGCAATATATTGTATAGAATATAATGATAGAATGTATCGCATACAATTTAAATTATCAGTATAAAATTCTATTAGTTTTGTAGTGGTATTTTATTGCCGTTTTAATTTACAGTCCTTTAATGATGTATGTTGTTGACTTCTTTTATATGCTTATGTGCCATTTGTATGTCTTCCTTAAGAGGTGTCTGTTCAAATCTTTCATCCATTTAAAAATCACATTATTCATGTTCTTATTGTCGAGTTTCAAGAGGTCTTTGTATATTTTAGATGAAAGTCCTAGTTTCTTTGAATTTCAATATATGTATAGATTGATGTAATGATAAAAATCAGCATACAGAATAGTTCCATTGCCCCCTGAAACTGCTTGTGTATTATGCCCCCTTATTATTTTGTATTATACCCCTTGGCAACTGCTGATCCTTTCTCCATTGTGTGCTCACGCACACAAACAGTGAAGTTTTGCTGTGCTTAGCAAAACAAGGAGTTCTGTGAGAAACTATGAACTCTTTGAGCTGTGTCCTTGTTGCAGTCTTGCGGAGACGGGAGAAAAGAATGTTCTGCCAAGATTAAAATCTATATAGATATAGATATGTGATTGCCCAGAAATTAACTAACTACAACTCAGATAATAAGAAATATGGAGCACTGTGACCATGAACAAAGTTACTCTGAGAATGTTTATCCATGCTTGATAAGATTAAGCTGCCGGAAAGATGTGTTTCATTTTTGCTGTATAAAAGAAGGAAGGAAAAAATAAACCTGCTGCTTATTCTCTACTGGATGTGTGTGTGTGAGTGTGTCTTTCTTTATGCATCTCTGCTGTACCAGGAATTACGGATTGTCAGCGGGTTCTGACACTCCATCACCACAGCTTTGTCTTTGGTAACATTGTAGAAGTGGAATCACAAAATGTGTAAACTTTTGAGGTTAGCTTCCTTCACTAAGCATAGTGCCTTGAGATTCATCCCAGTTGTTGCATATATCGACAGTACACTCTTTTTATTGC